ATGACAGTCCATAACTGCAATCATTACGATCGAAGGCACGTTGCAAGGTGGCAATATATCGGTCGTGTGATGTTGGGAAAAGGCGGCTGAATAGCAATCATTGATCATATTTTTTCCTTCGTTCGAAAGAAAATAACAGTTGTAAAAATGTCTGGCTAGCATAGTCCGCTTTATCGGAAATGACACTTCTCTAATTTGTAGATCACGCTCACCGCTACTGTTTTCGACGAGCAGTGGAATGCAATGCTGGTCACCGGTGTGATCTGAAACTGAAGCCTGTTCGATGTTTGGTCCGGGGGGCAGTCGATCGCTGAAGGTCAGTCTCGTCTTACCGCGTCTGTGCCGAGCTGCATGCCTGTAGATCACACGTTCAGAAACAGAGGCCCAAAAGAAACATGTACATAATCTTGGAGATCAATAGCCTGCATTACGTTCATGATGGACCATTATGCCTTAAGAACAAGCACTCCGACCGTCCCGCGAAATTTAAGAAAAGTTCTGCCATCCAAAAGCAAAAGGGCCTAGGCGCCATCACATAAATTGTTCTGAAACGTTTTGGGGTTTCGGCAAATTAAACATGGTTTTGTGCTTTGAAAATAACCGAGCATGCTTTGGATGCAAAGTTTTCCAAGCACTCCGGCTTTTTTGCCATTCGGGCGGTAACGTCACTGATCGCTAGGGTTTCATGCTATGCGAGCATTCCACGCATCATATCTTCAGTATGCTTGTCACAGACCAACAAGTGGGCCACCAGTGAATCAATGGAAGAACAAAACTGTGGCGCTGCGCTGCTTTGCTTAGTCATAGACAAACCGCGCACATACATCTGTTTGGACGGTCCACAATCAACTTCGGGCTCATCGCACATTCCCAGACAAAGTGTCAGGTGTTGGTCGTGTACAGTGCGCAGCCAAACATGTCAACAAAAAGGCGTGTGTGAGATCACTGCGCGTTTGACATGTGGTGGTGGACTCACTAAATTCACGTTGGAGCTGTGGTGGACTCACTAAATTCTGATTCCACTCAGTTCAATTCTCACCCAGTTCAATTCTGCCCTCACTTAATCAGAATACACCTATGTTCTATTGGTAACCCGAATTCGACACAAGCCCAGCAGGAAAACGGCCCTAGCCACATCTGTTGCCCAGGAAGTTCGCCGTCCCACCAGGTGTGTCGCTCGCGAGCCTCCGCAGAGGCTTGATGGTTTGATTTGCGACCTGGTTGACACTCTCAATGGTCTGTGAACTCTGGCACTAAGCTTGTTCGTTACGCATTGTAAAAGGGGTCCCAAAACATCTCAACCTAATGCTGGACATGATTAAAATCGTTCAGTTGGGAAAGGAACGCTTTTGGATTCAGTAAATTTCTGGATATGGTTCTGTCTACCCTTTTCGGCGCGTCCTAGCTCATTTTGGTTTTGGTGAGGGCCCGAAAATGGTGCTACAATTGACGTCAAAGAACCTTGTCTTTGAATGAAAAAGACTGAATATACCCTGCCGGGTATCGATCACAACTTCTGTATATGCTATGTGTTCTAGCGGCAACACGCTTTGGCTGGCGCGCGTTCGCAACGCGATACTCTGGCTGCCATGGACAGGATAGGCTACTGGATAGGAACGAATAAAGCTCCTGGTGAACGAACAGAGATACAAACACATTGGGTCCAGGCTGATTGCACAAGGGTCCGCGATGCCTCTATCGCTCACCATCTGAAGGACAGGATGACCGCCGTGATGGCGATGAGCATGACGATCGCGCCCGGCGTCGCTCGAGTCGCGATGTAGGCCACGCTCGGCGGCCCGTCCTCGTTGCGGACAAATGTAGTGGGCGCCGGGGACGGCGGCAGGCTGCGAGCTGTCCAACCTGTGGCCGGGTAGTCGACGTGACAGAGGGCACACGACAGTGGACAGCTTGGATGCTGTGGGAGAAACTGTAGAGAACGGGCCTGATGAGCGATGCTGCAAATGCGACGGAATTGTGGACGACAGTGCGCTATCAGTGGACAGCAACGCAGACTTCGACGACACTGTTGACAGTGTTTTGGGCAAACATGCTTCCCTGCTGATGCAATACACAATACTGAAGACATAACGGAATCAATGGATAGTGGATTAATCTGGTTTCTAGCAATCAAAAGACAATTCCTTATAAAGCATGCTGCACGAATGGTTAATTATCTCATTCTCTCCTGCTGTGTCGGATGGGTTTCTGCCAACATTGCAAAGGGATTACGATTCTATAGCGCCCAATTTACTAGTACAGAAATCGTAAAAGTTAACTGCAAGAAAGCTAAAGATCGCGTGCTAAAACCGGACCCAAACATCATACACCCGGCGTTACAGGGACACAAACCTAAACACTTGAGCAGGGGGGAGAAGGGACGCATGCAGAGGTAAAGTTATGGGGTGAATGTGCACAGGTGGTAAGGCGCTTCGCGCTACCCATAGATCCACCCGCCTTGGGTCGTTTTCAAGGGTAGTCGTCGGATCTCAGCAACCATAGCAACTAAAGACATCAAATCATCGTTACGGCACAGACAAATGCTGATGAAATGCTGACAAATGAAATCTCGACCAAGATGCTGTTGCCTTCACCGACGTAGAATGCACCATAGCGATTGGACGAACGTAGCCCTGTTTATAGTGACCAGTGTACCCATTTACGCAACGTCGTGGCAACAATTGTCAAAAATGTAACTTATTGTGTTCCATTAATTTGTATTGAACTTGCTAGTTGTTGTATTGCTATAATCAAGTGTATGCAATCATTGTATATTTATCAGGATCAATGCTCCCTTAAAGTAAAAAAGTATAATCACGCTCCACGCAGGCCATCCGCAGAACATATTTGAAGGGGAAAAGACTTTCAAAGCAGACTCGATGCCGACGCGCTCTGAAACACCAAGCCATCGCCAGCAAAGAGGATCCTAATAAACTTTGGATGAATGCTTGCATGTTTAGCACAAAATTTATTGGGGAAACATTGGCAGACGTTTCACGGCAGCTAATCGATCCGAGCGCTCTTGTGCTCCAAAATATCTGGGAAAGTTTAAGCAGACAACATTTGCATCTTAGGTTTGACTTACATGGCGAATAGCATGTCGTGTTGGATACCAATTTGAACACGTCTGAAACGCATCACGCATCACGGTTGGTTACTGCTCACTGCTTACTGCTCACTCGAAGGCGGCTACTGGTTTTTGACTCGCATCCAACACGCATACAAGTCCATGTGAACAGACCATTAAGTTGCAGTTCCTGGTGCCACACCACACGCAATCGTGTATGGACCTCGACCATGTTCACAATCTGATCCGCCCGCAGCCAGACTTTTTCAAATTTCTTATCCCATCCAGTTTGGTGCAATGTAATACAAACGTGTTGATAAAAAGAGGCGCCAATCCGTATTTAAGCGTTTGCTGCTGGCATCTAACTTGACAAATATGGTATATTTAAGCCAGCCACGTAAGCAAAATTTCCCACAGTGCATGGAGTCGGGGCAAATATCAAACTTTCACTGAAATTCTACCGATGTGGACCAAATTAATGTGAAAAACGGTATTTAGTGTAGGCCCCTTGGCTCAGAGGAAGCGGCCAAGGGGGGGGGGGGGCAAGCCCTCTGATTCGTTGGCTATGTCCCTGACTTAAGCGTTAGGTTTCAGGTGCAATATAATGGCAGGTCAAATAAATCAGTGATACTTTGCATTTACCTGCAGAGCTATAATAATAAAGAAACAAGCCAGATACCCATAGGGAAAGCAGGATAAGCAATGCCTTTAAAACTTATAGCATATGTGCCTTTAGGACAAAGTTGCCTGACCTTTAAGAGGCCGAATCTGGTTGCAAACGTCTGAAATTGACTGAGCTTGGGCTTGCACGACCTCGCATTGCAGGAGCGACCAAAACGATATAGAGGCATATTAGGGCCAAACGGTGAAGAAAATGGGTTTATACAATTATTTGGTGTATATTTTCTGAAAAAAGTTTCATTATTTCAAAACAAAATCACCACTATTACTCGAGAAAAAAAACATGTCAACTAGTCGGAAATTTCAATTTTTACAATATGAGTCAAACAACGTCACTTACGCCAAACAAAATTGTGGCACCGGGCTCGAACTCGTTTGAAAGTTATCCGGTTAAACTTAAGGGTGGCCTCTGCGGTTCACTAGTTGGTCGAGGGTTAGCAAACTCGGAAGCCTTGTCTCATTCGGCAAACAGCAGGTTTTACAGACGTCCAGTTCGGATAAAATCGCACCAAGGTTGAGACCAATGCCAACAAATAACCATTCATTTATGGATGCGTGCTCAGCTCAAACACAAAACCCTCTTACCAGGCGTCTGGGTGGTGAGCTGGACTCCACTGGACGTGGAGGCTGTTGTTGACTTGACATTGGCTTCGTGGAATACGGTTGAAGACGACTGTTGTGGCGCCTCTGTGGTGAACTGGAACTGACTGGATGCGACTGTCTTTGGACCGTCACTCGTGACGCGAGATGAGCCAGCGGAGAGCTTTGGACGAAAAGTCCCTGTGACGGGCTCAACGGGAGCGCGTTGGTCGTCGACGCCAGCTGGGCTGTCGTGGACCCTGGACGGCGTGCTGCTCCCTGCTGGCGGGCGGACCCAGGTGTGAGTGTGTGTGTGTGTGTGTGTGTGTGTGTGTGTGTGTGTGTGTGTGTGTGTGTGTGTGTGTGTGTGTGTGTGTGTGTGTGTGTGTGTGTGTGTGTGAGTGTGTGCGTGCGTGCGTGCGTGCGTGCGTGCGTGCGTGCGTACGTGCGTGCGAGTGTGTGTGCGTGCGTGCGTGCGTGCGTGCGCGCGTGCGTGCGCTGCGTGCGTGCGTGCGTGCGTGTGTGTGTGTGTGTGTGTGTGTGTGTGTGTGTGTGTGTGTGTGTGTGTGTGTGTGTGTGTGTGTGTGTGTGTGTGTGTGTGTGTGTGTGTGTGTGTGTGTGTGTGTGTGTGTGCCGGACGGGAAAATTTCTAGTGGTAAGCCGAACGAAAGGGCTGTATGTGTTAAGTGTAATCACGTAGGCTGTTAATTGCCTTTGCCGGGATATTATGCACATAGATCAGACAGTAGTAATAGTCTTATTCCTCAGAGAAAAACCGGGAGAATAGAGATAAAGATGCGTTGATATTTCGGCAACATGCCTTTATCGAAACGAATAGCAAAAATTATATTCGTTTTGATAAATGCATGCTGCCGAAATATCAATGCATCTATATCTCAATTCTCCTGGTTTTTCTCCGAGTAATGAGACTATTACTGCTGTCTTATCTCGAAGTGTAATCAGTGGTGGCAGTGTGTGGCACGATAACGGCCACCCGCACTCGCCCCTTTTTGTTGCGTAGTGTTGGGATGTGATGATAGGCGGAACGGAACCGAAAACTATCATAGCGACCAAAACGCGCATCTGGACATAACAAATCATCGGAGGCCAACAACCTAGCGCCGCGCTGACAGGAAGTTGATCTGCAATGCTTCGAACAGGGTATAACAGCAGCCTTCAGGATTTTCTAAGATAGTTGGGATAAAAGGTTGGCTCACTGAGGGCCCGAGACGTATCAACTTCTTTGTTGGGACGCTGAAAGGGAGGAGGCAATACAGAGGAGGGAGAGGAGTTTCAGCGCCATTGTGTGCCGGGGATGTTTGGGGTGATGTGGGCACCAGCGAATGTGTACGCTTGGAGTAAATGTGAGGAGGCGTCGAATGCACGAAATGTAAGTGGATTTGATAACGGTGAGGGGGGAGGGGCTCCCAAGGTTGACGTTAAGCAGGTATTTCGCAAGCGTGATTCAGCGGTTGCGCACGACCCCGGCCGGTTTAGGCATACGCACGATGGTATTCAGGGCGGTTAATTTCACTCGATGCATCCCGCTCAGTTTGTGCCTCGCCAACGCCTTAGATATTATCACCAGCCAAAGCGGCGGTGGCGGGATGTCATGGCTAACTTTGGGAAGACAGCCTCATATGGCGCTCAAGTGGTCTTACCATCCCGTTCGTTAATCTGCTTCATCCAAACTCTGTGGCTCACCTGGGTGTGTTGACGTCGAGTGCGCTGTAGTCCCCACGTGCCGCGTCGTATGCTGAACATCATTAGTCCCCACGTGCCACGTCGTACGCTGAACATCATTAGTCCCTACGTGCCACATCGTACGCTGAACATCATTAGTCCCCACGTGCCACGTCGCACGCTGAACATCATTAGTCCCCACATGCCACGTCGTACGCTGAACATAATTAGTCCCCACGCGCCACGTCGTACTCTGAACATCATTAGTCCCCACGTGCCACGTCGTACGCTGAACATCATTCGGCTCGTGAGCTGATCGGTGACCAAAGGGCTGCCCTGAGAAGGAGGCGTACATTGATACGTCGCCGGCGACACCAGAGACGTGCGCTAGTAAAAAACCAGGAGCGGCAGCCGGCGACGCAGACCAACTGCGGAAGCCGGGCAGCCGAGAATGCCATCATATCACCACATCATTTTAAAGGGTTAGTCCCACATTTTATGGGGGTGTGAAGTGAAAAAGCCATCATGAAGATCATTCGGTGCAAGTCGCAACCCTGCCCTTCTTAACACGCGCTCGGATGGGGGTCAATCTGACCCCCAAACTTTTTCCAGCATGGATTCTGAACGGTGCGGCCTAGCCTCACTAAATTTTACCAAACTGTAGCAAATTGAATAGCGGATCGTTTGATATATAAATGAGATGTGCCTCATAAGGTCGTCGAGCTATAGCATGTCAAAGTCAGGCCATCGATTCAGCGAAAACAATTTCTAGGGAATCATTTAGGCTGATGCAACAACGAAAAATAAGACAAAGCTGCACATCTCTGAAATACTTCATTAAGCAACACAAGAATTACATGAACAAATTTCATTGGCACCCGGTCAGGTATGAAGGTCAGACCAACTTCAAAACCAACCTGTTTAATTACTTTAGAGCTTGCTTTATGGGGTAGTTTCTGGCGCTCATCTCGAATTTATTGATGACAGGAACCACAATATTCATCTTTAATAGACTTATCAAAGGTCAGGTTTCGTCACTGACCTAAAATGACCCAGGTCAGCATTTTGTTTTTAGGAACATGCTGGCTGGCGTTAACATTGACACTTAATCAAATACCAAAACTCAAAGGAGTCTTGTATGATTTTGATCATTATGACCTTGACCTTTTATCATCATGACCTTGAGAAAGGTTGTGACCTGGAACAGAATTTTGCACTAAACACGCTACCAATAGTTATAACATCTGATGCTTAAGTCAATATCTGCAATTGTGGAGCATTCCCTTAGTCAGCATTATGGAGGACTCAGGCACTCCGAAAGTATGTACAGTAACGCCCCTGGATGGACGTCCTCGTTTACGTTGGCCTTTTTCTTCATTTTTGCCTCATGTTGATCCGCTCTATTTGACACCAAGGAAGCCTTTTACCTTTTTCCGAGCAAGGGTCCCAGTGGGTAGGACACTAGGGGCACATTGTGTTCCCCAGCCTGG